ACAATTCTCTAGAAGAGGGCCCCTCGCCTTCGAGAGACCTGCGGAAGGCGGATGGCGCTGGCAGGCCAGCGGAATCGGGCAAGTCAGACGAAGGCGGCTCTGCTGGCGAAAGGACGGAGGAAGCAGCATCACTGGAAATTGCAGCATATTGACAATCCCCGGACGATTGGAGGGTCTGGAACGACGTCGGGGTGTACTTGTTTACCCGTTTTCCTGGGGAAACAACGGAAAATGTATACACCAGGGTCCCGTATGCACCAGGATCCGCTTTCTTGTGCGCATGTCATTGCAGTGCCCGAGAAAAAGCGTCGGTGTATAGAGTTTTGGGGCTCGACTTGAACGGTGTTTTGGCGATCTCGTGGACCGTTTTCGTTTTGGCTTCGTTCTGCAGCGGCGGCGGATCGAAGACAAAACGAGGGAAAACGAAAACAACACGGAAACGAAAAACATTGTGTCGGTCGACCCGTGCCGCCAGACGAGCGGCGTCAACATGGCCCTGCTCTGGCGGACGCGTGGGCTCGATCCTCGCGGCAGCGGAACGGACATCGGACGCCGACGAGGCTCAGAAAGGGGGCACCTGGGGTGCTCCGCCGCTGCGCTGTCGTGGCCCGCGCGCAAGATCGAAAACGTTCAGGCGCGGCCGGGCTCCAGCAACTCGCGCTCCTGGCGAAAGAAAGGGGCCGCTCCCGCTCCTCGTCGTCGCGTCGCCGTTTTGTTTTCCCCTATCCTCCTCCTCCTCCTCCTCTTCCTCCTCCTCGTCCTCCTCCTCCTTCTCCTCCTCCTCCTCCTCCTCCTCCTCCTCCTCCTCCTCCCCCTCCCTCCTCCCCCTCCTCCTCCTCCTCCTCCTCCTCCTCCTCCTCCGCCTCCCTCTCCTCCTCCCTCGTACCCTTCCTTCTCCCTCGTATCCCTCATCTTCCTGCTCCTCTTCCTCCTCCTCCTCCTCCTGCTCCTCCTCCTCCTCCTCCGCCTGTTCCTCGTCCTCCTCCTCCTCCTCCTCATCATCATCGTCATCGTCATCCCTCGTACCCTTCCTCCTCTTCCTCACTCTGCAAACCCTTACTTCTGGTCCTCCTAATCCTCACTGCCCATTCCCTCCTCATTGTCGTTGTCATCCTCCTCATTCTCCTCCTCGTCCTCCTCCGCTCCTTCCTTTGGCGACCGTCAGGGAAAACACAACAACATAGTTAAGCTCTTCGCACACCCTGAGTGGTCCTTCTCCTCACCCCTCACCATTTCCCCCTCCTCCGCCCCGCTCGCGCGTGGCCGCACACGCGCGCGTGTAGAGGAAGGAGAGGGGACATCGACAAGCTAACCGCGCTCGCGCCATATCTGACATCCTACTCTTCCCATCCATTCCATTATTTCGCCGATTTCGCCATAGCCTGTCATAGCGCACCTGGATTCCCCCAAAGAAACACATCGTTTCATGCAAGGAGGAGGAGGAGGAGGAGGAGGAGGAGGAGGAGGGAACACCTTTACTCCGCTCCCGTTTCTCACCTTGCCTTCCATACTTCCTTCTACGCACGCCTAGGTCACATTCTTGACGCCTCGCGTATCCCCACCATCGCATGCGTCCGCTGCGTCTCCTGTTCCCTCTTGCCTCACCTTCAGTGTGCGATGGCCGGAGTTTGGCCTCGTCTTGGCCACCCCGTGCCGTTACAGTGCGGCGTGCTCCGCGCCTTTTCGTGCTGTATGGTTCGGCTGGAGCTTGGCGCCGTGACGGCGACTGCTCTTCTCCGTCCGCCGCCGGTACCGCGTTTGCGTCCCCATCCGCTGGGCTGCCTGCTTCGGTCCCCAAAGAGGGTCACTTTGTCCCTGGCATGTGCACTCGCTACAGCGGCCGACGTGCCTCTGCAGCCAATTATCTCGCTCTGTGGCCCAGACGTTATTCCCGCTCGCTGGATCTGTCCTTCGAGCCGCCGAACAAAAAAGTATCCCCACCAGTTCCTTGCATGTGCATGCGCCACTGCGGCCAATGTACTTCGTTCCGCACCCCGGACGTTGTGCCCGCTCCCTGGGCTTCTCCTTGGAGCCGCCCACGAACCAACAAGTATCCCCACCAGCGTTGCTTTCGCCGCCTGACCCTTGTCTTGCGGCCGCGACCGAAAAAAGGTATCCCCACCAGCCGTGGTGGCGCTCCTGGCTTCATCCTGGTCTCGTTCCCGCGCCATGGGCTGCCGCTGGGGCCGTGGTCCACCTGTCCTGGTTGGCTTCTGGCCCTGCTGTAGCTGTTTTCGCCACAATCGGCGTACTCCGCGCACACAGCTGTCTCGCACCGAACTGTTTTGCTCCCCGCGTCAGGACAGCCTTGCCTCACTCCTCTCTGCGGCCCTGTCAGCCCCAGCCCCTGGTCCCCCTCTGCTTCCTTGTCCCAGCCCCATCCGCATGGAGTCCTTGAGTGCACGTGGTTCAGCCTGTGCTCTCCCGGCGGTCGGATGACTTTGTTGACTACGTCCACGGCTCCTGGCGGCGATGCCCACGGCACTCTCGTGTTTACTCGACCCCGTGCCCGAGACGTGGATTCCCCTGGTCCTGGTCAGCTCTCAGACGTCGGTGCCCCTGTCCGTGAGTGGCTTGGCTTTTCCTGGTCCAGTGGTTCAGGCGAGTTACGGTGTCGAGTACATCCATCGTTTCCCTGGCTACTTCACTGGACCTCCCAGGAGCACCCCGTGGACGGTTGTATGCGGCATTATCCGTGCTCCCTACAGGAGCCTCGGTGTGCGACTTTGGTGGCGCCACCCCAGACACCAGTTTTATGGCCAGGAGGGTCTCCCGGCAGCTGATGCAGTGTATTGTTGGTAGCCTTCCTGGTCACATCCTGGTACCACCCCCGCGCCATTTTGTCTGCGTTCCAACCCTGGTTGGTTAGTCGTGCATGTGCGCGCTCTTGGACCTGTTTCCTGGCAGCTGCAGCCCGCACCCCCTCACACCAGCCCGCCCGCTTAGGTGCTGCTTAGGTCGCTGGCCCGTCGGCGTTAGGCAATTAGGCTCGTGCGCGGCCCGCTCGGACCTTACTCGCCGTTGGCGCTCCCGTCTGCGGCTGCGACGCAAAAGTATCCCCACCAGCCGTGGTGGCGCTCCTGGTTTCATCCTGGTCTCGTTCCCGCGCCATTTTGGCTGCGCCCCGACTTCGGTTGACTAATTGCATGTGCGCGCCCCTGGACTTGGTTCCTGGCAGCTGCAGCCCTCACCCCCTTCCGCTTCCGGTGGTCTGAGGTGCGGTTTAGGCTCTGTTTGCCGGCGCGTTAGGCAATGAGGTTCGCGCGCGGCCCGCCCGTTCCGTTACTCGCCGCCTGCGCTTCCGCTTGCGGTTGCGACAAAAAAGGTATCCCCACCAGCTGTGGCGCCGCGCGGGTGTCCGCCTGCGGTCGCGATCCAAAAAAGTATCCTCACCAGCTGGTGGGATGCACCTCCACGCGAATTGCTCGTGAGTGGTTCAGCCTTCTTGTTCAACCACCCGAGGTCGCCACTGTTGGCATGCGACACAGGTACGCTGGACTGCTTGTTCAGCCCCACTCTATGCTCTATGCCGTGCTTTGCTTGGGCGGTTCGATTACCTGTGGCGCCCGGCGCGACAAGGTACAACTAGTTTGCCTTCCCGGTGGTTTCACCCCTGGAATGGTTGCTCTTCTGCCACCTGGCACTCCTGGCACCTCTGGCAGCTCTGCCTTCAGTCCCCGGCGTCGCCCCTCGGCGGCAGTTTCGGCGGCCGTTAGTTCGCGCGCTTAGGTAATTAGGATTAGCTCGTTGCCCAGGCTGACTTTGGACGCCGATTGCGCTTCCGCTTACGACCGCGACGAAAAATCCCCACCAGCCGCTCCAGAAACGATGCCCTGGCGAGTTGCCTTTCAAAGTCTCCTCGGATGTCTCTTGGATTTGTTTGGAGGCCTCTTGGAGCGTCTTGGGGGCCTCTTAGGGTCCCGGGGGCCTCTTGGAGCGTCCTGGGTTCCTCGGGGAGCCTCTTGGGGCCTCTTAGGGTGTCTCTTGGGAGCCTCTTGGAGGCCTCTTGGGCGCCTCTTGGGGCCACCTGGGCGCCTCTTGGGGCCCTCTTGAGGCGCTCTTGAGAGCCGTTGGGGTTCTTTTGGGGCCATCTTGTAGGATATCGATCAAAAATGGAAATAGCTCCAGTTAGGGCCACCATTCGCGAGCGCCTAAGATCGCCTCTTGGGCCGCTCTTGGGGCGCTTTTGAAGCGCCCTTGGGCGCTGTTGAGGCCGTCTTGGGGTTTTCTTGGTTTTCTCTCTTTCCTTGTTGGGCCCTCTTGGAGCCATCGTGAGGCCTCGGAAGGCCATCGAAAGCGAAAAGGCGAGAAGGCAACATTCATTGATCTTCCTGTGGTTTTGATTGATTTTGGCCTCTTGGCGGCCTCCTGGGGAGGTTCCGTGGCCACTTGGAGCAGTCTTGGAGCGGTCTTGGGGCCTCTTGGAGCATCTTGGAAACCATCTTCTGCCATCTTGAGCCATTTTGGAGATAATCCTGTGCACTCTGAGGCCGTTTAGGGCCATCTTGGGCCATCTTGGACGCTCCAGCCCCTCGCGAAACGCCCCCTCCAGGTCCAGGGGAGGGGGCACGGGGGAGGGGTAAACCCTTCCCCGAAGGGGAACAGGGAGGGGTGGAAACGAAAACGCTCTAAACCACCGACGCCCACAGGGCTGGTGGGATTTGCAGGCCAAATTGCCTAAGTCGGCATCGCTCTCCGCACATTGCCGCGTTTTCATGTTTTTTTCTAAAACAAAAATCTGAACGCTGCGAGCCCCAACTCTCAGAGTCCGGCCAACGTAAAAATCGAAGAGGAATGGGAGGAACAGGAGGAGGCGGAGAAAGCTAGAAACTGAGAGTGAGGAGGCGCAAGAGGAGGAGGAAAAAAGGAGGAGGATGTGGGCGACGACGAGGAGGTGGCGCGCCTCTCCTCCCCCCCTCCCGCAACCACCTCGCCCCGAGCGGTCCCGGCGCGCCCTCCGCGGCGCGGCGCGCCCGCCGCGGCGCGCTCGCGCCAGCCGCGGCGCGGCCAGGCGGCGGACCGGCGCTGCCCCGGGGTCGGCTCGCCCGCCACCCACTGGGGGCCAGGGTCTGTGCGTTTTCATCGAGGATCAAGGAGCCTCTAGCCCTCAGAAGTACAGCCGACCCGCCTAGTGAGGATGGGCAACCTTCCCAAGGGTACCTTTGTATCCTTCCCCTTCGGCCCATCCTTGGCCGCTTTCGCTGGCCGCGTCCCGCTTGCAAAGTGTCGGCGCGGCCTTCCAAGGCTCTCGCATCCTTACCGCGCATCCTCATGATACAGGTTGCTTGTAGTGAAGGCGTGGCCTCACCCAGGTCCTCGTCTATGCATGAGGGATCATACTTCTGGGCGGTTTGGTTCCACACATCTGCAGGAAAGACCCCTTATCCCTGCCTTGATGTTTGTGGCCCTCCTATAGGTCCCCTCCCAAAGGGTTGAGGGTATTTGTTTTGCTTATCACGTCTGGTGCAGATGGGTCGGCGGCGAGAAGTGCCATCGTTCATTACTTGTGCGCTGTTGCGCGCAGTTGTACACAACGGTTGCGGAGGTCGCGAGACTGTTCAACGGGGGGCGCTGCTGACACGTGGGGAAAAGGATTCTTTTTCAGCTATCTCGAAAGACATGTAAGCGATCCTCCGAAGACACTGAATGGAATCCAGCGGTCTGCAGAAACACAACACATGTGATGCCGGGGAGCACTTCCTAAGAAGGCCGCCCAAAACAACCAGTTTTACTCACTGAACGGACTTCCCACGAGAGATGGTCTCGTGAGGTTCGAAGCGCCGTGTGTTGAGAGAATACTCCCCAGAGGCCAGGAAACGATCAGACCAGCTGGTGCTTTCTGATTTCGTTTCCGGGCCCGCTAAACGTGGAGTTGTATAAACCAGGACATTGGCGCTCCCGAGAAAACCGCAGCCGTGGGTTGTGTCATTATGCGTCCTCCCTTCTCTACAAGGGGCAGTTCCAAGATCTTGGTTGGCAGTGACCTGGTCTCGGGGGCCCTGCTTGGTTGTCATGCGCCAACGGGCGGCGCATCTCATCGGTCGTAGCTCCTGGGCCCTCCCCCTTTGCTGACAGAGAGGCCAGCCGACCTCGTGCGCTCCTCTGTGACGTGCCGGCGGCCGCCCAGATGTGCGGGCCCGCGCCCGCGGCCCGAGCCGCCCGGGCCGCATGGAGTCCGAGCAGCGAGCCGCGGCCCTGAGGCAGGGCGTGCAGGCGGTCGTGGAGGCCATGGGCTCGGAGAGGCAGTTCAGCAACAACAACGAGTCGAGGAAGAAAAACACGGCACAAGCATCCACCTTCTGAGCTCCGCGCGGACTTCTTGGATCCGCGCTGGGCCCCCCTGTGGCGGCGCCTCCACCGCCGCACCTGGCGCGCTCCGCGCTCCAGGGAGGAGGGTCCAGCGCCGATCCAAGAAATCCGCGCGGACCTCCGACATGTGTATGCACATGTAGGGTTTTTGTTCCTCGAGCGAGAGCGCGTTCTCCCTCTTCCGCCGCGGCTGCAAGTTCTGCGAGCAGCTCCCGGGGGAGCTGGAGGCGATCGGCGAGAAGGAGGTCATTAGGACCTTCCTGCAGCGGACTGCCGGCAGACGGGCCATTGCGCGTCAGGTGCAGGAGGTCGTGACCATCCTCGCGCGTGGGGAGACTTGGCATCGCTGCCTCGCAGAGGCCCCGCCGCCGCTGCGGGATTTTCTGGCCAAGTGCCCAGCGTCATCCCCCACGGTGTCTGCGGGGGCGACGGCCGCGCGGCCTTCGCTTTCCGCCGCCGCCGCCCCGCCCTCCACCGTGGCTGTCGCCCGCGTGGACGCCAAGACCGCGCAAGCGCGGGTCGCCGCCGTCACGAAGCCGCCGCCGCACGAGGCTCGAGTCTTTCTCAGAGAGCGCACTTCTGGTCGTTTTCTCACGGTGGTGGCCGAGGAGGAGACTCCGACCAGCTTCGGGTCGAGGGCGACGAGCTGGTCCTCCAACCAGCAGGCGACAACCAGGTGTATCATGACACCGAGGCCGGTGTCCCTGCTCGTCTGCCATTGGGCCAGCGAGTTTGCGGGCGGCGCGGACTTCGAATAACAAGAAACGCTTTTCTAGACAGAATGTCTCGGAGGTCCAAGCGGATCTCTTGGATCTGCGCTGGGCCCCCTGTCGGCGCCTCGGGCGGCGCCGCTGGAGCGCTCCCCGCGCCAACCAGGGGGCTTCAGCACCGATCGAAGAACTCCGCGCGGACCTCTGAGAAACGATGTTCACGCAGATTAGTTTTCCCCTTCAGGACTGGAAGTATCTGGACGAGTCCTCGGACGAGCGCGAGTTCGAGGGGCCCGGGTCCTCCTCCTTCATGGGCGACGGGCGCGGGAGCCCTTCGTCCGCCACGGCCCGCCGCGCCGACGACCCGGATGACGGCGTGCTGCTCGGCTTCGCGCACGAGGTCGACTACGCTTGAGAGTGACCTTTCGCCCGAGTGACCTCCGGTGCGGGCCCAATGGGGCCCCCCCGCTCGCTGAACGCGAGGCGATCTCAGTGGCTTGCGCGTCCGGGGCTGTCCCCCCAGCGCCCTCCCTCCCCTGAGGCCCCGCACCAAAGGTCACTCCTGCCCCTAACGTTGCCCCCTGGTTTTCGGGCCATACCTCGGCTCTCCATCGCCGTTCGGGACGATTCGGGCACCCCTGGAACGCTCTCGGCGAGGCGCAGCTGCCGGATGGCATCCCGAGGCCAGATAGCCGCCAAAACGGAAGGGAACGTTGGAAAGCGTGCGAACATTGAACTTCGTGTTTCTCCCCTGATGCCTAGGGTCACTCTTTTGCTTACAGTGGGTTCGCGTCGTGCCGACCGGCGGCGGCCCCGCCGCCAACGTTCAACATTGAACGCCGTCGGCGACCCAGAATCGGTCGATGTTGAAACGGCCGATCGTTCCAGGTGGAACGATCCCCGCGGTGTCAGACACCAACGCCGAAGTCGGCACGACACAAACTTGCCCTACAGTCAGCCCGCATAGTAAGGATGGGCATCCTTCCTAAGGGTACCCTTGCATCCCTGTTTCGGCCCATCCTTGGCCCTAGGCCGCTTTCGCTGGCCGCTGGTCGTCCAAGGCCCTTGCATCCTTATCGCGCGTCCTTATGACACGGGCCGACTGTGGCCGCACGAGGGCGTGACGTCCCTGACCCCCTTCGCGTCCCTGGGCTGCTTCGTGTCCTGCAGGCCCTGGTGCCGCGCCTCGCTGCGCTCCGCCGCCGCGGGCGGCGGCGGGCCGCCCCCCGAGACGCTGCAGTGCAGCGGGCACGGCCTCGGCCGGCGCGCGGCGTTCCGGTGGTGCCCGAGCCCCCCCCCAAACTCTAGGCCTCCTAGTCGGGCCTGTCCCTCTACAGGGGGAATCTTCAAAAATAGTAAAACATTATCCCAGTGCGACCCTACCCAGGAGTTGGAGCATCTAGGAAAGCAACATCTACATCTACATTGACAGCTACATTAAGATCTACACCTGCATCTACATCTACATCAACATCAACAGCGAGACTCACATCTACATCTACATCCACACCTACATCTACGCCTACATATACATCTACATCTACACCTACATCCACATCTACACCTACGCCTACATCTACATATACATATACACGTTCGCATTGGGTTTGTTGTTGCTGTGCATGCTATGCTATGGTATGGTATGATATGATATGATATGATATGATATGCTAGTCTTGGCTATGCTATGCTGTGCTAATGCTGCGCTGCGCTATGCTGCGCTAAGCGAAGCTCAGCTAAGGTAAGCTGAGCGATGCTGCGCTATGCTAGGCTATGCTATGCTGCGCTATGCTATGCTAGGCTATGAGATGATATGCTATGCTGCGCTATGTTATGATATACAACATACGATGTGCTGCGCTGTGATGTGCTATGCTGCACTGTGCTATGATTTGCTATGCTATGCCGCGCTGTGTTATGCTAATGCTGTGTTATGCTATGCTATGCTATGCTGCGCTATGTTATGCTATGATATGATGAGCCATGATATGCTATGCTATGCTTGGCTATGATATGATGTGCTATGCTGTGCTAATGCTGCGCTAAGCTAAGCTTAGGTAAGCTAAGTTATGCTAAGCTAAGCTAAGCTCGGCTAGGCTAAGCTAAGCTAGGCTAAGTTAAGCTGAGCCTAGCTAAGCTAAGCTAAGCCTGGCTAAGCTAAGCTAAGCTAAGCTAGGCTAGGCAAAGCGGGGGATACTGGGGGAACCGCGGGGCGGATGCCGGGGGAACCGCCCGGGGCGGTTTACACTGCCCGGCCCTTTAAGCACATAGAGTAAGAACCTTTCTAGGCAGAGCCTAGGTAGGGAAATAGTGCGGAGACGATTTTTGGAGCAGTTTTTGACCATTTGGGAGCATGTTTGGGGTATTTTTTGTTGTTCGTCCAAAATCCCCCTGTAGGAGGACAGGCCCGACTTCACTCTAGGCATCCTAGATGGGGTCGGAGCAGATGTGGTCGGAGGATCGCGCCGCATCGCCGATCCATCGGCGGTGTGGCTCGATGTGGAGCCCGATTTGCTTCACGTGGATGTCGCCGATGCATCGCCGACGTTGACGGCGCATCGCCGGCGTATCCAAGATGCATCGACGATGGATCGGCGATGCGGCGCGATCCTCCGACCACATCTACACTCAGAGGATGTAACAAATCCATACCACTACCCTTCCCTCGTTCCACTTTTTGGGGGCTTCCTCGGAGGCCCGCGTCGCCACCGTTGGATTCGTCTTTAGATTCTGGGCAGAATGCACCCCCAGGAGAGGTCCGGGGAGTAGCGGTATCGGTACCTCGGCGTTTGACCAGAAACGGGAGCTTTGGCACAGTCAACCCGCATAGCCAGGAGGAGCAACTTTCCAAGGTTGCCCTTGCATCCTTCCCCGTTGTCCCATCCTCCGCCGTTTTCGCGGGCCGCGCCCGGCTCGAAAGGTGTCGGCATGGCCTTCCAAGGCCCCTGCATTCTTATTGCACATCCTTACTATACGGGTTGACTGTCAAGTGGGGCAGACACGTCAGAGCTCCTCAGACAGCGCCCGACGAAGTCCGACACTCTACAGAACAGAACACATGTAATACCAATGGGGACTTTACAAGAAGGCCGTCCAGAAGACAAACTCAGCAACCCACTGAGCGAACACCCCACGAGAGACGATCCCGTGAGCCTCGCGGCTCCGCGCATGGAGGGCAGACTCCCAGCAGGACAGGAAAGGATTGGAACGGCTGATGTGTTCTGGCGTCACTTCTCGACTACACGTGAGAGTGACTTTTCGCCGGAGTGACCTTTGGTGCGGGCCCAATGGGGTCCCCTGATCGCCGAGAGCGATGGGGCAGTCGCGCCTTGCGCGCTCGTGTTCGGTCCTCCCGCGGCACCCCAAAAGCCGCGCACCAAAGGTCACTCTTACAGTAAGAGTGACCTCACGGGCGACCGCTCGATTGCGAATGGTTGACCGACCAACGGCGCCAGCCAGAGTAGACAATACTCGACGCAAAGTGTACCCCGCGCGAAGGCTGTTAGAAACCCCGGAATCTCCGGAACGTATCAATAGCACGTTGTGTCAATCTATTCTTCTCGTCCTATTACCCAGGGTCACCCCTGCGTGCAGCCGACCCCTGAACGCGGGGACGTCTTGGTAAGCCAGGACGTCGGCGCGCCCGAGAAAGCTGCAGAACGGAGGCCGCGGGCCGAGACGGGCCTCCGCTCTGCGCTCTCGTCGGGCTGACCTCTCGAGTCGCAGGCGACGTTTTTCCCCCAAGCCCAGGCTCTGCGACGAAAAATGAAGCCGCTCAAAAAAGGAGGGGATCTCTGGGATAGAACCCCAGGGGGGCTGTTCGGACGCACCCCTATCGAGGATGGACGCCCCCCCCACCGTATATCCAAGGTTGGGCCCCAAAATTCGTGGTACATTCGGAAACCTCCCAAAAAGCTTGGGATGCGGGTCGACATATAGTCGACCCGCATAGTAAAGACGGGCAACCATCCCAAGGGTGCATCCTTGCCTCCTCGGCCCATCCCTGGCCACTCTCGCTGGCCGCACCCTGCTCGAAAAACTTCGGCACGGTCTTCCAAGGCCCTTGCATCCTTGTCGTGCATCCTTCTGATGCGTATTGACTGTACAGCCGGCCCAGTAGGTCGACCCTGCCAAATCAAGGGTACCCTTGTCCTGTGTCTCGCGACCCATGCTTTTCCTACATTTCTGTGGCAATGTGGTCCTCGGAAGGGTCTTGTGTCCTCTCGCGTGTCCTGTCCGATCGAGTCCGACTGTATTGACTGTACCCCTTGTTGCTCGGGCTGACCTCTCAAAGTCCTTATCGTGCATCCTTCTTTTGCGTATCGACTGTATCTTAGGAAGGGAAAAAACACACAGACACAATTCATGGTCGATGTCCCCGAAAAGATGGGAAAACACGGGAAGTGGGGGGGAAGACAAAAACCTTGAAAATATGTGATTAATATAGGGAATCCTGTTATCTGTGTGTAGTTGTTGGTTTGTCCCAGGGCCTCTGCAGCAGCCCTTGCTGCTCGGGCCGACCTCCCAGAGTCCTGGCGGGCAGTGCCCTCGCCTGGGGGGCCCCCGAGGTGCGCGGGCGGAGGCCTGCGGCACGCGGCCACGGGGCACTGGCTGCACGTCGACCCCGCGGCGCCCGAGCGGCCGGCGCTGCGCGAGGAGGCTGGGAGCCTCTGGGAGGCGCTGCCGGCGCTGTGAGGCGCTGCCAGCGCAGTCACTGGATCGGCGGAGGAAGGCCCTGAGATCCTGGCGTCGCAGGGTTTTCCCAGCGGGCGGTCTCGCCTTCCTTCGGGCCCTGGGCCTTCACAGACTTATCCGGCTCGAGAAGTGGCGCAGAGAGACGGGCTCCGGGGATCTGGTCTTGATTTTTGACGATGTTGCATTTTTCGCTACGTCGGATCTCAGGGAAGGTGCCCATACTGCTACCCTCGCCTCGTTTTCCCCTTCTTGGGCCCTGGGAGGCCCTCGGCGCCACCGCTGGATTCGCTTCGAAATTCTGGTCAGAGGGCACCCCAAAGAGAGGTCCAGGGACCAGCGGTATCGTTGCCTCTTGGTAGGGCCCCGTCAATGCAACGGCGGCCCTCCCCACTGCAGTGCAGCGGGCACAGCAGCGACCGGCGCGCGGCGTTCTGGGGGTGCCCAGGGCTCCAAATTGCGTCGGCTCCATGTCGGATTTACGTCGGGCTCACGTCGGGTGACGTCGGATTTTCGTCGGGCTTACGTCGGAGCATCGCCGCGCAAATGTTGTCCCATCTCTTACGGAGTGGACCTGTGGACTAGATGATACCACTATTGCGCGCCGAGCGAGGCCTCCATGTTCGAGTAAACGTAAGACTCGAGTTCGCCAGAACTCGGGTTCGCCTACGTCGTGTTTTCCCCAGGCCCGTCCTGAGTTCTGCCTGTCCATTTCCCGTTGTATGTTCGCAGCGGGAATTCGCGCCAAAGTTGAGACTGGCGTCCCCGTCAGGCCAACCCGAGTGCCCCGAAGCCCTCTTGGGGCCCCCTGGGGGCGCTCTAGCGGTACTTTTGAAACCTTCGGGCCTTTCCAAGACAGGGCCTTGTGCATTCTGCCACAGGAAGGCCTCTCCTGGCAGAATGGTGGGCCCGCGCCCGGTGGCGTCCTGGGGCAGTTTGACGTCTCCTCGACATCTCGTCGTAGCGGCGGCCCTCCCCGGCGCCTCTGGTCCTGCCCATGTGGCCTTTTTGGGGGGCTTCTCTTCGCCACGTCTGGCTCCGCTTCGAGACTCGGGCCAGGACGGACCCAGGGAGAATCGGTATCGTTTACAGTCAAGACGTTGACATAAGAAGCCATTTGGGTTCGGAAGGGGCTCGATGTTCCTTAGGCTCCTTCATCGCTGTTCCTCCTGCCCTCCTCGGGCACGGCGGCGCTTTTAGGGCCAAAGTGGGGCTTCGTTCCCTATTTGGCGTTCCTTCTTTCAGCGGCCCGACTGTAACCGATCCCCATCCCCATCCCCTTCGAGACCACCACCAAATTACCACCCCAGTTGCGGTTGCACCTCTCGAAAACCGAAGGGAACGGCCCATATCCCCATCTCGGGAAGCAACTCGGCCAGTGGGGCCCAGGCCACGCCGCCGGGGATGGGCATCGGTGAAGCGATGCTCAGAGAAGGTCGGGCGTCCGAGAACGGTGCGGCGACAGACCGTGCGGTGACCTCGGCATCTCCCCCGAAGGTCCGTCGCCGCACGGTCCGTCGCCGCACGGTTTCGGGACCCGGGAGGCCCCACTCACCACGCGGTCGAAGGCGAAAACTGCGGGCACCCAGGGCTGCGTGGCACGTGTACGGAGCGGCGCGCGAGCAACCAAGAGCGAGCATGCCGAATAGGACCGTCGACATGGTCGTCGTGATAAGCGCCGTCCTTCTCGTCGTCGTCGCAGTGGTTTCGCCTTTCCCGTCCTTGTCGTTGTCGCTGTGTCCGTCGCTGCTGTCGCCGTCGGCGTCGGCATTTCCATTGTCGTCGTCGATGTCATCGCGCTCGACGTCGTAGTCGTAGCCGCCGTTGCGTCGACATTGTCGTAGTCGTCGTCGCCCATGGCATCGCCGCGTGAAATGTTTCGTGTTTGTTGCTGCCGAATCCTCGTCGCGTTCGTTGCCGGTCTTGTTTTCGTCGTCTTCGTCCCCGCCTTCGTCGTCGTTCGTGCCGTCCTCGTCGTCGTCGTCGTGAGTCGTCATTAGCGTCGTCGATGTCGTCGTTGTTGTGTTCGCCGTCCTCGTCGTCGTCGTCTTCGTCGTTATCGCGCTCGTACACGTCCTCCTTGTCGTCATCGTCCTCGGCGCCGTTGTCGGCGCCGTCGTTGTCGTCCTTTTCGCCGCCGCAGCCGTCTTCGTCGTCGTCCTCCTCGTCGCCGTCGTCGTCCTTTTCGCTACCGCCGTCGGCGAGTCTTCACCCTTCTGCCGTGTTTGGCGGGTAGGGGAGAACCTGAGTTGCGAGAACGAGGGCGAGAACGGCGGGAACGAGGGCGAGAACGAGGGCGAGAACGAGGGCGGGAACGAAGGCGGGTACGAGGGCGAGACGAGGGCAAGAACGAGGGCGAGAACGAGGGCGAGAACGAGGGCGAGAGCGAGGGCGGGAACGAGGGCGGGAGCGAGGGCGGGAACGAGGGCTGGGGGCCCAGAGCAAGAAGTGCATCTTCGTCGCTTTCTGCGCCATCACCATATATCAGATTCACCTCCCTCCCTGCCGTCAATCATTTTCGTCGCCGCCGTCGTCGTCGTTCGCGTCGTCGTCTTGGTTGTCATCGTTGCCGTCACCGTTGCCATCATCGGTCTGATGTCCGTCCTCGTCGTCAATGTCAGTGTCGCGGTCCACGAATTCGTCGTCATCGTTGTCGTCGTCGGGCTTGTCGTCGCTGTCTTCTTCGTCCTCGTCGTTGTCGTCGTGATTGCCGTCGTCGTCCTTGTCGTCGTCGTTGTCATCGCTGTGCTCGCCGTCTTCGTCGTCGTCGCATCGTCTTCTTCGTCGGTGTTGTCGTCGTTCCCGTCATCGGCATTGTTCTTGCCGTTGTTTTCTGTTCGTCGCCCTCGTGGTCGTCAGCGTGCTTCTCGTCATCGCCTTCGTCGTCCTCGGTGTCGTCGTTTCCGTTGTTGGGCTAGTCGTCGCTGGCGTGTTCGTCGTCGTCGTCGTCGTCGAACTCGAACTCGAACTCGTCGTCGTCGTAGTCACCGTCATCGTCGTCGCCGTCCCCGTTCTCACTGTCATCCGTGTCGTCGTCGCTGTCGTCTTCGTTCGTTGCCGTTCTCGTAGTATGTGTTGCCGTCGTAGTCGTCGTCGTCGTCGTCTTCCGTGGTCGTCGTCGTCGTCGTCGTCGTCGGCCTTGTCGCTGTCGTCGGCGCCGTCTGTGTCGTCATCGTCGTCGCCGCCACCGTCGTTGTCCTCCTCGTTGCTTTCGTCGCTGTCATTGCTGCTGCCGTCGTAGCGTCGTATACGTTTCGCCCACCAGGGGTTGAAATAAAGCGGGCAGAGCAGAAACTGACGCGTGGCCGTCATTCTGCGCTGCCACCCGGCGTGTTGTGGGGGATAGTGTCTGTTTTGTCCGTTGGCTCTACCATGTGATTCTGAAAATGCTTCCTGCCCTGTTCCTGATCCGCATCTTCCGCATGCCCCTCCTTGTCGTCCTCGCTGTTTTCGTCGATGTCGCCGTCCTCGTTCGTGTCGTCGTCCAGGCCATTGTCGTCGTCGCTCTTGTCGTCAATGCCCTGTTCTTCGTCTCCTTCGCCATCGGTGTTGGGTCTACGTACTCGTCGTCGTTGTCGTCGCCCTAGTCGCCCTCGTCTTCGTCACTGTCGTCGTTCTCGTCGTCGTTGTCGTCACCATCCTTGTGGATACTGTTGTATTGCTGTCTTCGCCGTCGTCCTCGTCTTCCTCGTTTCCGTCGTCTTGTTCTTCGTTGTTGTCGTCGCCGTTCTCTTCGTCATCGTCGGTCTCGTTTTTGATGTTGCATTCGTTGTTGTTTCCGTCGTCATCCTCGTCCTGGTCGTTGTCTTTGTCGTCGTTCTCATCATCGCCAGCCTCGTCGTCGTCGTCGCTGGCGTCGTCGGCTAGCCGTCCTCTCCATTTTGTCGAACGTGGAGATTAGAGAGTTAAGGACAACATTACTTCTTTGTCCCCCGGGCGTCGCCACGCGTCGGGCAGAATATAATGCTAGTTGTGTTTCGCTCATGCACCGCCACGCTTCGGAAATCTAGCGCTACGTGTCCCGATTCTTGCGATGCGATTTGGCTGGCGGAGTCCTATTTGTTCCGGCTCGCAGGATGGGCCATGTGATGAGAAAGAACAGTACTTGTGTCTGCCTCCTTGTGTTGCCACGTGACGCGTTGGAGTGGGATCACATGTTTCCGACGTCGTTCGTGGTCACGAGAGGATTTCTGATAATATTGCGCAACTTCCTTCGGATTATGGCTCCCTGCGGATGTTTCGGATGTCTTGAGGACTTGTTAGGTCTTGCTTAGAAGCCTATCGAATGTGTCAGGATGCTCTATTGTTTTTCACCGTGCCCCAAGGATTACGAGGGATTCCTGTGAGATGCCCTAAAGCGGCCTTAAGGTTTCGAAGGCTTCTGGCGGGCAGTCGGGGTCAAAACAGAACATCGGATACCCAACATAAACGTTTCGTCAGCTCGGCAGTTCAACGGGCTACAAAATGGCTTACGCATAGCGACTTCGCAACACTGCATGGCAACAGTTTTTAGGAGGTGGTTCTGGCGCTTCTCTAACCATAGGGGAGGGGCAAGGGCGGCCCACGTGTCCTCGCGTTGTGAAGCGGGAGGTACTCGGCTTTCGTCTTCGACCTCCGGGGGCCCGTGACTGTCCAACAACGACTCTGGATGCAAATCCGGTCCCGGCGAAGCGGCTTAGCAGATTTTTTGGGCATGTGACAGAATCACGGTGCTGGAGATCTCGGGCGGGGGGAGGCGGGGGAGGCAGACGGGAGCGAGGCGGGGCCAGGGGGGAAGGGGGGGACCAGGGGGGAGGCGGCAGGAGGTCGGACGGGGCTAGGGCGAGGACACGTTCGTTCCAGAGCGTTCCGGAACGCTCTCAGAGCGTTCCGGGACGCTCTGGGAAGGCCGTTGCGCCCGGGACATCTTCCGGAGCCGCCGGATCCCAGAGATTCTCGATTTCCCCGTACCCGATGTTATCCGTGTCCGAGCTTCGTCTCAGGAGGTGGAGCAGAGGCCAGGCGAGGGCGTCCTTGGCCTCGGCGCCCCTTCCCGGGGCCGCGACCCCCGCTTCGGAGCGGGCTTCCCGGGTAGCTAGTCTTCCGCGGGCCTCTGACGTGAGGGCCCAAGGGTACGAGGCCGAAGGCTGGCGACAGATCTCCCGCGCGATTCCTCCGAGTGGAGGAGGAGGAGGAGGAGGAGGAGGAGGAGGAGGAGGAGGGAGGAGGAGGAGGAGGAGGAGGGGAGGCCCCCCCCCTCAGTGCGTCCCCGGCACTGCCGCAGTGCGTCTGGCACCACAGTCTGGGGGGGGGGGCGCTACCTTATGCCTCACCCCCTTTGCCCCCCATAACGCCCGTTACGGCCGCGAATGAAGTTGTGGAAGTCGAGTAATGGAGAGGAAGCATGTTGCCAAATAACCTCCAGATGTTTAGAAATCGTTCAAACATGTTTAACATATGTAAAAACATGTCTGAAACGCTTTCAGAGCATGTTTACACATGTTCAACACATCTTTAACTCAATGATCGGATTGTTAGAGTGTCCATTGTTATGGCATCCGCAACGCTATGGCCGCGAACAAAGCAATGCGCGCCAGAAGAGTGTCTCTGGCCTAAGGTGCCCCCAGGATCCCCGAGCAGGCCCAGGTGGCCTTCGGAGCCCCCCTCAGGATTGCGGAGGACGATCGATGGAGAGGAAGCATGTTGCCAAATCATTTCCATATGTCTTAAACATGTGTCAAACATGTTTTAAACGTGCCAAACCATGTTCAAAACATGTTTAGAACATGTTTCCTACAGTTTAAGCACATCTGAAATTCAATGATAGGACTATTAGGGTGTCCATTGCCGTGGCATCCACAACCCTTAGGACGCCCCCCAAAAAGGACAGACAGCTGGGAGCACCTTGATTTCGGTAGCAAGTCATGGGAGTTTGGTATATCCTCCAAATTCAGTTTTTTAGCGTCGACTAGCGTCGATTAGTGTCTGGGAGTCGATCAGATAGCGCCGATTTAGCATCGGTTAGCGTCGATTCTTCGTCGATTAGCGTCGACTAGCGTCAATTAGCGTCGATTCGCAAGAGCCGACAAGATGGTATGGGAGGCTTCCATGAGTTGCCACCGAAACTTCTCGCAACACCCTGTGGATGGGAACAAGGCGCCGCCTGTGCAGCGACTCTTCCAGTTGGGGCGCCGCCTTCGCACGCGTTCCGTGGCCTGGCGGACGTCGCGCCCTGTGCTTTTCGGGCAGTGCCACGGGGGGTCACTACAGGGGGGCTCGTCGGCATCTCCAGCTCATCGAGGTGTGGGGCAGAGGGAGTATCGAGGATCGATGAGGTTTGGGATGTCAGCTGGCCGTCCTTGGGAGTCCTGGAGGGCTCCGCGGGGGCCAGGCGGGCCCGTTCCTTGGAGGAGGTGGCAAAACGCTCCCCCCAGTGACGACCCCCTCTGGCAGCGCCTGGGCTCCTGGGGAGCCGGAGGCCCGGAAGACGGAGGGACCTCGGCCGGAGGCATCCGCGGCTGGAAATGTGCTTGGCCTCCCCCTCCCCTTGCCCGCCTCGGAGCAGAAAGGGGCGCACAAGCAGAGAGGGGTGCACAAGGGTGCACCATGAGCAGAAAGGGGTGCACAAGGGTGCACCAGCAGACAGTCAGCGCGCGCAGCAAGGCGGGGCACCCCTCCCAGAAGCTAAAAGTACCCTTGCCTCCCTGCCTCCTCGGTCCATCCTGGGGCCACTTCCGCTGGCCGTGCCCCGCTCGAGAATCTTCAAACTCGGCGTCCACGGCCCTTGCATCCCTGTCCACGGCGTGTGCATTTTTTCTCGGCGAGAACCATCGAGGACCATCCTGGACCATCGAGCAAACAAAAACACGCACGACATCAGGAAATGGACGTCCGAGCGACGGCAAGTGTCGCGCATCCTTGTGGTGCCGGCCGACCGCAAGCTCTCGGAGCTCCGCGCGGACCTCGTGGATCGGCGCGGGAGCCCCCTCGGCGGCGCGGGCGCGCTCAGCAGGGGGAGGGGCCCAGCGCCGATCCGAATCAGCTGCGCGGGCCTCTGGTGTATCTTTGTGTGTCGCTGTTTGGTTCCTCGGAGCATGTTGTTTGTGTGCTTTTTGTGTGTCTTTTGTTTGTGTGTCGTTTTTTGTTTGAGGAGGGGGATGCTGGAAGCATCCCAGCATCCCCCTCCTCATCGTGCTCTTCCTCGCGTTTGTCCCCGTCCGCCGCCGCCTCGTCCTCTGCCGTCCCCTGCCTCGAGCTCTGCCGCCACCTGCGCCAGCGGCTACTTACTCCTCCTGCTCCGCAGGTGCGCAGTTGGCTCTTCCGCGGCCCCTGTGTTGCTACACAGCGTTCCGTGCCTTCGCGTCACGGTCCTTTTCAGCGCCGCCTCTGCCGCCGCCTTTGCGTCGAGCCTCGTCGCCATCTCGTCTTCGCCTCCCCCGCCTCCGTGCTGCCGTCAGCGCCCTCGTGCTCCTCGCCATCTTGCTCGTGCTCCTCCTCCTCCTCCTCCTCCTCCTCCTCCTCCTCCTCCTCCCTCGTGCGTCTTGTCGTCTTGCTCGTGCTCCTCGTCGTCTTGCTCGTGCTCCTCCTCCTCCTCCTGCTCCCCCTCCTCTGCCAACGGAGGCAGAATCGCGGGTCGAGAGGGGGAGAGAGAGCACCGAGCGGGGCGTCGAGAGGGCGAGGCGAGGCCAGAGAGAGGAGACGGGGGACGGGGCTGAGGACCGGGAACAGGACGAGGAGGAGGGCGAGGGTCAGGAGGACGCAAGAGCCTTAACAGCAGCGGTCGCGTTTCAGATCAGAGGGCGGTAGCGGCCGTCGCGGGCGGACAGACTCGTGGCGCAGGCTACGTGCGAGGGCGAGGGTCAGGAGGACGAGGCAGGGACAAACTCTCTGCCCCCTCCCCCCCCTGCTCGTTCTCCTCGCTGCCACCCCCCGTCATGGTCCTGCGCCTTCTTGCAACAGGGCGCGCGGCCGCCACGGCCAGTGGGTCACCGTGTACGCGCCCGGGCACGCGCCAGCCTCATTCTTCTGATTCGCTTTTGTTTCGCTCGAATTTCATCTCGCTCGTTTAATCTTGCTCGGTTTACAGTCGCCCGGGTTTTAATTCGCTCGGATTAAAGTTGTTATGGTTTAAGTTCGTTCGGTTTTAATTTCGCTCGGTTTGCATTGTTTCGTTTGTGTTCGCTCGTTTTATTTCGCTCGGTTTTTTTCGCTCGTTTAATTTCGCTCGGGTTTACGTTCGCTCGGTCGATCCCAGATTGCCGCCGGGAACACCGCGTCTGTCCAGGCAGACCACAAATCCAGAATTCGCTCGCAGAGTCGAACAAACTCGCTCTTGTCGCCGCCTGGAAGCACCTTTGCGTCGCTGTTATTCAATGTCTGCCGGTTTCTTCGCTCGTTTGATTTCGCTATGTTTGAAGCTTTGTGGGTGTAAACTCCTTCGGCCGATGTGTTTGGCGTTTGAATTCGTTCGTTTTCCCTTTAGTTTAGTTTTGCTGGTTTTTCCCCTCATTTTATTTCGCTCGATTTGAAGTCATGCGGGTGTGAACTCGCTCGGGTGTAAACTCGCTCGATGTAAATTCGCTCGGTTTATCTTCGCTCGGTGTAATTCCCCGCTCGGTTTGACAGGACCGACATTCCAGGGAAGGGCAACCACCAGCAGACCAGCTCGCCCACGGGCTCGCCTTGCCAATCGATTGCATGCGCTTCGGCGAACGACGACCGACTGTCTCTCCGACGGGTTCGGCGCGGAACTCGGCGCTGAGTCTGGTCTGGCGCCGGTGCCAGAAGGTTGCCTCCCCCCTCCTTCTTCCATGTATCCTCTTTCTCTTCCTCCACTTCCGTAGCCATGTTGGCTCAAGGCCAAGATGGTGTCCATTTCACTGCCTCAGCGGGGTCGGCTCCCACAATCATCAGAAGATTTTTCATTATCTTCCATATCCCGCCCGTGCAAGGGCACTACGTTTTCCTGGTCCGCTCCGTGGTCTTCCTGATCGCGTTGAGGATCCTGTTCCTATCTCTTGCCCCGCTCCTTTTTTTCCGTCCATCATCCCCAACTGCGGCACGGCTCGCTGAATCAGGGTAGGAACGCTCACCTGGAGGCAGGATACGCGATCCTCACTTCACCAAAGTGCCATGGCAGCCTCCGACAGCAGCATGTCCCACTCTTCAGACGGATCTCGCCGACCTCATTCTCGCACCCGTGATCGTCGAAGGCAAGACGCTAGTCACTCCAAGAGCAGGAGTGGAGGCGAACGAAGTGGCTCGAACAGAAGACAAAGGCATAGGCATCGAGATCGTAGAGACAAAGGCAGGCATGCTGATCGTGACGAGCGAGAACGTGAGCGAGATCGGCACGATGACAGACAAGAGCTTCAACGAGCTGCTACCCGAACATCTGGACCTTCGGCTGCGCTCTCAACGAAAGAGATCCATGGCAGGCTGCGGCGACAGTCTCCGCACCTCAACGACACGCAGGTGCAAGTGGAGGGCCAGCTAGACGTCCTGGATCCGAGCATGGTTTTCTTTCCACGAGCTAAACAACAAGTGGCTCGAGAGCTGGAACTTTTCCCCACGTTTCCTGACGGAGGTGAGCTTCCAGCTGCTGGCACACCGATCGGTGGCTTACCAGTTCCACGTGATCATGATGCTCCTCCTCCCATTGGCGATCCGGTCCACCTGGAACAAGGCTGGCGGCACTGGGTAAGGATCAAACAAATTGCGACGGCGATCGCACAACTCACGGCAACGGCAAATTCTTTCATGACGCAACAACAGCAGCTCTGCAACGCACAGGTGCACGAGTTCCTGGCAGTTAGCAGGCAGAACGCGTCACACCTCGAGGTGCATGACAAACGTATACATGAGCTACAATCTCGAGCAGACAAAGTGGAGTCATATCAACATCGAATGCGACAACATATTCAGGCGATGAAGCAAACTTTGGGTATGGCAGGAGCGCCAGTCCCCTTTGACGTTCAGAAGCTTGCGACATGGGACCGGGTCCCAGATCCCACAGTGTTCAGCATCGGAGCCCCGAGAGCAATGGCACCAGCGGCCATCAAAACGGCGCTGGCTGAATGGATACATGCTTCTGGTGTTCCTGTTGATCATTCTTCATGGTGACGTGCCTCAACGACGGCTTCACTTGCAAGTTCAAGGCGGCGTAGCTGCCCCTGCTTGTGCCCTCGCGCTCTCTCGAGCACTCAAGAAATCAGCTGGCCAGCGCATCATGCAGGACGCTTTCGCAGATCACAACGTCGGAGCGCAGCGGGCCAAGGGCATCATCACTTTTGATGCAGCACCGCTCGTGGCTGTCGAAGTTCAAGGACCAGGTGAACCATCCAAATTACGATGGGACATGCCCATCCTCGCCCGCTTCAAGAGCGACAAGCAACCATTGGTGGCTGGATTTGGTCAGGCGTTCGCTAGCGTGGATACGTCTACGTGGTTTATTTCGCAGACGATGGTCTCCGTGGACTTCTTTCAGGGGCGGCGCAATGGTACGATCATCTCCTGGAATGCAAGAGGCTCGCAGCGTTGCAAGCCTCACCGTCGCAAAGCCAAAGTCAACAAACTTGCCTCGTTCATGCGAAAGCGATCGGTGATTCTAATTCAAAAATGCATAGGAATGCTGGACAAGCTGACCGCTGCGCTAGCAACCGACACGCACCCGTGCAAGATCTTATTCAACCCTCTCTCACAGACGACCGGCGGCACTGCGTTCCTGGCCCCAATGGAAGCTACATGCCAAGATGACCCGCGCGTTCGATCTCAATATCAGATTTCTGCCCCTGGCAGGCTTGCTCTTCTCACCATCACTAATGTCAAGAACAACTTCACCATGGACCTCATGAGCGCGCATAACTTCGAGCTGGGCAACCGAGCGCAGGACAAGATACTGGCTAGATGGGAGCTTGTCGGTTGGAACCTTCAAGACTCCGCTACGAGAGCATTTTTGGCTGCTGGTGACTTCAGCATCAAGTCGAGGCCGAGTCGCAGCTGCGTCGACCCCGTCTCGGAAGGCTTCGCCCCTGGCTCTGTTCCTGCTGAACGTAGCCGCGGATCTCAACTCCTGCAAGCATATTGGGAATGTCTTTTCTCCATGCTCGCTGAAATGTCGACTGATTGCCTCGCGTGCTATTGCAGAGACACGGCTGCCCCAGCCACATTGGATCGTGTCCTTATTGGCACTCCAGCACAATTTCTCCTAGATGCCGCCATCTCTGACTCCAGGCTCAACGACCACACGCCGATCGTTCTTCACCTTAGCGACCGAGCTCGACATGACCAACAGACCGGCATTCCTGAGCCAGTCTTTCGTGATCCACGCTACGGAGATATGTGTGGCATTCCTCGATGCGCCTCAACTTGATCGGTTTCCAGTTGTGTACCAATGGCGATGCATGAAAGACTGCATGATGGAGGCTGCTCGCCAGGTTCGAGACGAACTTCAACGACTTCCGATCCCAGCCAAAGACTCCCGTGCCAAGGGGGGTCGCATCATCACGCTGAGAGCTATGGCGAG